TTATATAACTTCATAATAATCCTCAACACAATCCTAAAGTAACGATGAATTGTCTCAATTGATCTATAATATATTGATGCAATCACTCGAAATCTTACATTATGACCAATTATATGTAAAAATATGATAACTTGCTCCTTAACATTCACCGATCTTGTCGACTGTAACAAAATTGTTCTTAGTAAGGATGTCACACAGATTAAAAAACGTAATTGGTCACATTCGTATTATGTCGATACAATTCTGATCACCTTTATATAAAATATTATTGATGTAATTTTCTCTTTCATCATCTCGATTCATATGACATTGACGAGTTATTTGCTTTCTAGATTTTATTCTATGATCCAAAGAGCCCCAAAAGCCAATGCTGAAGCAGTAACTCCCATTATTGTTTTATGAATAGAATTATGTTCCATCTACAAAGAAATGATAATAATAATTATGAATACTTGAACTTTACAATAAATAATAATCACTAAATTAAATGGACAATCTACATTCATATTATTACGTTCCATTGATTTGTTAATGCTTTTAGTGCATCATAATCACAATATTTTGAAACCAAAGAAATCAAAGAAGCATGTAAAGGTTCGAACCCAATCTCTCAGTGCATATTCAAAAATGTTAAGATTTCTCAAATGTTGTACACCTTATTTGGTTGAAGGGAAAGTGAGATTATCAGGGAAATTCCTTGCTTGCTTTGAGATTGTTACTTAATTTGACCATAGAATCCCTAAATTTTTGCAAGTTGGTGTGAATTTGGCACGATTTTTTATTTTGTTAGGATTCGAACAATCTCGGAGATGCTTTGAAGTCCTCTGCTCAGATGTTATCAGAACTTCGAACCTCAAGGCTTTCCCCTCACAAATACTAGAAATTATGTTAGCACATCTCTTGATCTGATCTCATATTTTTGTTAGATCCATGAACTGATTGGTAGATTTCGCTTTCAAATGAGATTTTTGATTTTTTGGGTGATGGTTCAGATATGCGAGCATTTGATGAATTAAGGAAGCTGGAGGTGTTTTCCAAGGAAGAGGCAAGGTGTGGTTGCTCTATTGTTGATCTGTATGAGCTAGTACAGCATGCTGGCAATATTTTGCATAGATTGTAAGTACAACTAACTTTCAAACTGTTGAGTGGATGCTTGCTGACTTCAGCTAGTGTACCAATAGGCTGCAGGCTGTTATGTTCTCGTGTAATTCATTTCAGCAAGTGTATACAGTAGATTTAAAGCTGCTTTTCTGTGATTTCTTGTATGGTAAATAGTTCTATGTTATTTAGGAAACTGGAGGTGTTTTTTAAGGAAGAGGCAAGTCTATCTGATTTCTTGTATGGTAAATAGTTCTATGTTATCTAGATATATGTACTATCTGTGATTGCATATTGTTCGGTTCATCTGCAAGGTATGTGAAATGGTTCCTTCTGACACGTATGTTGTATCCAATTATTTAACAGGAAAAGCATGATCAAGTAGCATGACTATTTTAATATCTTGCTTGAGCAATTTAGTTTGAAATATGTTAAATTGAGAATTTCTTGTGTTAACTTACCTTTTAATTTGTACTTAACGTGTCAAGTCTTATGATCTATGTCAGGTATCTCCTCTCTAGTAGGCTCGGTTTATATCAAATCTAAGGAAGCTCCTGACAACGATGTTCTTAAAGATCCCGTACGAGGCCTCTTTCTTAGGAGCTACCTGGCCCAAGTTAGCAGGGATAAATTGCCTGACATAGGTTCTGAGTATGAAGGGTAAGAAATTAAGTGTTCCATCCCTTTATTTTTGCTGAAAAATGATTTCACTAGCTAATACTATATTTTCTGAGATGTTAGACTAAGAAGTTGCATGACATTGACTGAAGTATCTATTGATCAGTTCTGATATTGTTTTGGCTACTGTTGCAGCTAGTTTTGAACCTTTGATTGAATGTTGGGAACTCTTAACGGAAGGGTACTAAAGGATTGATTCTTACATTTGCTGAAGGATCCATTTTGCCATGTAAATCCTTCTCAAGTTCTATTAACTAGCTGTGTCGTCAAGGTGAGTCCCTAGGTGTGCCTTGCTTTGTGCTGCCTTGCCAGACAACAAAGCACCTCAGACCCTTCCAACCGAGGCAAATTTGATTAGGCACAGTTTTTTGCAGGGCAGCAATAGGCATAAAAATAAGTCTGCCTGATTGAAGTTTTCTTTATTTTCTTTTCTTTTCACCATGCTGTAAAATAAGATCTTATACTACGGTCTAGGCACTGAGAATCTAGAAATAACAACTTATGCATTTTTATAAGAGATATAAGCAAAAAAAACAAAAACAAAAAAAACTAACATAATATAAAGTAGAAAAGAAATTGGTAAACAGATAGAAATTAGTGAAGAACATAAGAAATTGCTTGTTGCATACCTTATGAACAAGGTGCCTCCAAACTGTTTGAGTTATGTGCTAGAAAGATAGATTGGCTAGTGGAGAATCTACAGGTAAGAAAATGAAATATGGAATTTAGAACAGAATAAATTGATAAATCCACTTGGGATTCTCTAACAAAACAACAGCAACCGAGCAAAGGCCACCAAGTCAGTGTTTATTAAGAACATGCCAACCAAAGCATAAATTTCAGTAAAGCTAAAAAATAAAAACTCATAATATTACCATTAAAATTAATAAAGGATCTTGCAGCAGATCTTTCAATTGTGAAAGCAAGCAAACTAAATTGACTTTAAAAAGATAATAATGAAAAATGACCGACAGTAGAAGTAGATAAGAGATCTGATTCTGACCAAATCAAAAAAAAACAGCTAAAAGGGAAAGTTTAAACAAAAGAGTTTTCACTGGATGTCATCAACCCACTCGTTACACAACGTAGATTTATCAAAAAGCAAAGTTCCGTTTTAAGTAAAAGATAATAATTAACTTCAACTAAAAAACCCAGAAAAGGAACCTAACCAGTTCAAAAATCCATCTTAGCTCCAATAATCCAATAAAAATGAGAGATTTATACAGATCTACTCTCAAAGAATAAGAACCGGGTATTCTTCGAGATATGTCTTCAAAAATGAAAATGAAAATATATATATATTACTAGTTAAAATAATTTCTTATCTGAGAAGATGACCGTCCGCCTGAGTTGCCGTTGCCGGTGAGAAGGAGACCAATTGATCGAATGATTTTGGGTGTGGAGAGGTTGGAAATGTTCACTCTTAATATACATATACAGTTAAAATAAGCGTTATCAGTTTTATTATTATTTTTTTAATAAAATTAGTAAAAATTTATTAAAAACATTATTATTTCTATCGATTTTATTATTATTGGACGTTTTACCGATTTTGATAATATATCTGATAAAGTGCTACCTAAAATATTATTTTTTCTATCGTGTTTTCTACCGCGTTTATTAATACTGGTAATTAACCTAATAATAACAATAATGTTTTAGGTAATTTTTTACCGGTTTTATTAAAAAAATAATAATAAAACCGGTAATATCTTTCTTTAGCCGTATATTAAGGGTGTCGCACTGTAGAACTTCCCGAAGAGATTTGAAGGAGCGTTAGGGAAGAGAAAATGACTTCCCCTTTTTTTACACGGTAAGTTGTTTTACGGGAGGGAAGAATAAATATTATGTTGACCGTAAAATGTTTTCAGTTGACTTCCGTGTTTTACTTGAACCAAACATAAGAAAATTAGGAAAACATTTTTCGTAAATTATTTTTTCCCTCAAACTAATGGACCCTTAATTGAATAATTTGATTAATAAAATTAAAAAAATAATAAGATTAAAACCCGTATAATTAAGGAGTTATAGCAAACAAACAAAAAAAACCAATGCTGCCATGCACGTAGAGTTGGCAATCCAGAACATTCCATATCTTACCCGAAAGAAAAAGAAAATCTTAACATACTAATCCTTAATTCTTATTTCTTAAGGATGAATCTACGGTGCATGCCAAACATATATGTATCGGTATAAATTTATAAATTATGATAAACTAATTTTTTTGGTTATTAAACTTTTAAAAAATTATAAAATAAGTATTAAATTTTAATTTCGTTAAAAAGAAGTATTGAAATTTGACTATCGTTAAAGACTAATATAACATATTAAATAAAAAAATCTCATTTGCTCCATTAATTGTGACTAAAATTTTGTTTTTAATATTTTTCAATAATTTTAAATAATAATTTCCAAAAAAATAGAATTTTTTTAAATATATGGATTTTCAAAAATTTATTTTTGAAATTATAAATATATTTTTTAAATTATATTAAAAAAATTAAAGAATTGAATCACATTGTTTAACAAAAAATGATTTTTATAACTAAAATTATTGGATATCAAAAATTATAAATTTTCAAATATAATCAAAATTAAATAAAAAATTAATTATAATTTTTTTGAATTAATAAATTCATAATTTAAAAAAAAATAATTATAATTTTATGAATTAAAAATTAATTATAATATTTTTATAATTTTAAAAATGAATCGTTAATATATATATATAATTGATTTTTTAGAATTATTATTTTAAAATATTTAAAAAGTATCAAAATGAAATTTAATTTATAATTGTGGTCTGAATGAGATATTTCTTTTATTAATTTAACATGTTAAGTTATCCCTTTAATGAATTAAAGATGTGATATTCATTTCGTAATACAATTGAGGGATTGATTGAATGGATTGAATGAGTATGATGAAACTTTTAAAAGTTCAATGTTCAAAAGGAGTATTTTAGTATAGTTTAATGACCATTTAAAAATTTTACTTTCAAAATTAGTGGTACATTTGGATACATGACATGGCATGTAGTGTAGAATTTTCCATTTCTTAAAATCTTTTCAATACAAAATCTTAAACCCTAGTCTTCGTCACTCCAAATTATAATGAATGACTTGTTCTTCTTAATAGTGTTGGCCTAAAATCTCGGCATTCATTTCGTTGGACTTGAAATCGAACTGAATACTAATTCTCCGATACTTGCAACAAACAAGGATCTAACGCGGGACAGTAATACAAACAACAGAACAACAAGGCTCACTTGCTTGAGTTGCACAGCCCATCGGTACATCATACGTTGGAGTAGGCCTCGTACTTGGAAGCTTTGGTGATGGTGCCTCGAAATTCAGAACCCGAATGGCTTGCCTTATTGACGGTCTTGAATTCTGGTCTGGATGAACACACCACAGCCCGACCTTCAACAAACATTCCATCTCTCTAGCATCGAATTCCACTGATAGTTTGGGGTCAGCCGCATTGAGCAACAGTTGTTTTCCGTACAAGTCCCACACCCATGCTACCAATGAAGCCCGGGATTCTTTGTATTTCGGCTCTATCGATCTTCTACCGCATGCAATCTCCAATGCCACCACTCCAAGGCTATAGACATCAGATTCTTTGCTAGCCTTTCCCGATGAAATGCATTCGGGTGCCATATAGCCCATAGTCCCGGCTAATTGTGTCGTTTGCGACCCTTTCGCATGGTCGACTAGTCTAGCTAACCCGAAATCGCCGAGTTTAGCATTGAAACTAGAATCCAACATAATGTTGCTTGCTTTAATATCTCTATGTAGTACGCAATGGTCGCCTTCTTCGTGTAGATACAACAGAGCTGATGCCAAGCCGTGCATGATTTTAAACCTTACATCCCAAGTCAATAAGGATTTACCTTTAAAAAGATGGGAATCCAAGCTTCCATTAGCCATGAACTCGTAAACGAGTATTAGTTCGCCTTTTTCATGGCACCAACCGACGAGTTTCACTAAGTTCTTATGCCTCAATCTGCTGATGATCTTCACTTCCGACGCGTATTCCTTGATACCTTGCTTAGAGGCCTTCGAAATCCGTTTAACGGCAACATTGGTGTCCAAGTCTGTCAAGTACCCTTTAAAAACAGCACCAAACCCTCCTTCTCCGAGCTTTTCACCCTTGAAATTAGAGGTCATTTTAGCTATTTGTACCAAGGAAAACTTCTTAGGTCCCATTCCATTTTGGAATTCACCTTCAAATATGTCCTCATTAACTTTGTTAGCTTTCTTTCTTTTTCTCCTTAATATGGACCAAATGCTACCTATGCCAAAAATCAAAGCCCCGACTCCTCCTAGTATTAACCCGATAACCTCACCGTCAATCGCAGAACGATATCGAAGTGAATCTTTCAAGTCGGTCCCGTTTCCTAGCACGATACTAGGGTTTGGTGCAACCATTGGAGGGCCACGAGCAACGACGGTAGGTACGCCACCGGCAGTGGCTGCAGGGCCATTAGCAACAACGGTGTGTACGTCGCTGCCAACAGTGGATGCAGGTACGCCACCAGCAGTGGCTGCAGGGTCATTAATAACAACGGAGTGTACGCCGCCGCCAACAGTGGATGCAGGGCCATGAGCAACGGCTGTAGGTACGCCACCGGCAGTGGCTGCAGGGTCATTAATAACAACGGTGACTATGCCGCCGCCAACAGTGGATGCAGGGCCATAAGCAACGGGGGTAGGTACACGGCGACCGCCAATGTAATATTCACGTCGAACCAAAATGTTAGGCGGTGGTGCGGATTGCGCACACAAAGGAGAGAACAAAGCGAAGCCTATCAAACAAAAGGTTAATGAGCCGATCATCGGAAAATTTGTCAAATGGCAACTAATCTGCAAACACAAGTTGCTCAAGTTAATATGTTTGCAATGCAATGGGAATACTTGTTAATTTATTATGCCAGTTTCAACATCACGCGTTTGAAGTTGAACTTTGATTTTCCTTATCGGGCCCTCCCTTCACTTGAACCATGGGTTTTTTTTTTAAATTATTAAATAAGAATAATTTTATTTTGACATATTATATGAGTTATGTGATTTTTTTTTTTTTTTGATACGAGATAATTAAAAAATTTCACTTAAAATAGAAGAACAAAGGAAAGTAACATCTGAAATATATTTCAAAACCAAATATCAATAAAATTAAATTAATATCTATATAATATAATTGCTTAAAAATAATAAAATAAATGTAAAATTAACTTAATATATATTATATATATTAGGAAGACTCGTGACTTACGTAGTAATGGCGCTAAGAAGAAAAGTAGTAAAGTTACCTATGTGTAACACTATGAAACTACCAATAAATTTCCACATTTACTAATGGCCCATGAGCTAGGTCTTCTGATTCCTAATATTTTGAATGGAACCTTCGGAGTGGGTCCTCAATCGACTTTTGGTATGATGTTTGACTTGGGGATTTGGGACCGCTCATCCACCATTTGAAGCCGAACGTGCATCTCCCTGAGAAAGGAATTTTGGTTTGCTGTTATGTGAGCGTGAATAGGGAGTGGATGTGGCGGCTGTTAAAGGCGAGTTTGTCGAATACGGCCTGTTTAGCATTGGAAGCAGTTCGGCCTCCCTTGGCCACGAGTGGTCCGGATTTGATAGGTGGCGACGTGACGAGCAAAGATAATTTTCCGTTGCCAGTGCTTATGCTGCAAGACTGTCGGATGCCGTCGGGGTGGCTATTACACCGTGGGATATTATCCGGTCATACAGGGGCTGACCTCGGGTTAAAATGCTATTTTGGATAATTTGTAAAGGCCGACTCTTATCTAATGAGGAGCGAATGCAGAGACATTTCACAGTGGATTCGAGTTGTGCTCATTGCAATGCATCGGTGGAGAGTGCTTCCCATATTTTCCGGGAATATATGGTGGCACGCGCAGCGTGGAAGGAGGTTGTTAAACCTCATTTATTTGAGGAATTTATGAATGGCGATATGGTAAGTTGGATCGATAAGAATTTTCGGCAACCTGGACACTTTCCCGTGGTATAGGAGTATTTGGATCTTTTCTTTGGTTCGATGATATGGAGCATTTGGACTAGAAGAAATAAGCCAACTCTCAATAAGGACTACGTTGAGAGTGAAGGGCTCCTCCAACGTAGTTTACGTTTGACAAAGGAGGCTGCTGTGGCTCTTATTCGAAGGAGGAAAGGACAGGGTCCTCGGCTGTAAAGGGAGAACCATAACGTTGAGTGGCAAGCTCCCATGGATTGCTGGTTGAAGCTCAACTCTGATGATTCGCGGAATGCTTCAACGGGTCTCGCGATATGTGAAGGTATCATTCGTAACCATTTAGGTGAATGGATTATTGGATTTTCAAAGCGTATAGGCTACTGCTTGGTGATTGATGCAGGACTATGGGAATATATGTGGGTTTATGTATGGTTTGGGATAGAAATTTCCGATGGATCATCATTGAAAGTGATAACAAGGAGGTGATAAATATGCTTAAAAGAAGGTCTGGTGTGGGGTGTTGCTCTCTAATGATGTCGCATGTTCAGGCCTTTCTTAGCCGCGATTGGTAGTTGGAATTTCAGTTTATTCCACGAGAAGGAAACAAGGTTGCAGATGGTTTAGCGAGTATGACTTGATCGAATGAGGCAGATTTTGTTTTTCATGGGGTTATCCCAGATGAGGTTCGACCAGTTGTGGGGAAGGAGGCGTATGACTTGTGATGATGGCTTGATGCCAGCCTTGTTATTTAAAAGATATTATTATTGTGATAAAGATAAATAACCTATATACTATGATATCAATTTATTGAAAAACAATAACAAGTACATATCATTATTTAAATAAATGATTAAATTTACTGAATTACATTAAAATTGAAACTAAATTAATAAAATATGTACAATATTAAATAATTTGATTGGTATAATTTAAATAATTAAAGGGTAAAGTACACAAATTGTCCCATGACTATATGATATTGCTTTATTGAGTCCTTCAACTATTAAAAGTTACAAAATGGTCCCTCGACTAAAATGTGTTGCTTTATCCAGTCCCTCGACTATTAAAAGTTACAAAATGATCACTCGACTATTCATATATTCCAAACTCGTCATTTAAAAAAATTGATGACAGTCTAAGCGGACGTTAACCTATCGACTGAGATATAAATGTCCTTTGAGATTTTGGGATAAAATTTTATCATATAACAATCAGCATGTTAACGTTCAACTCAAACTATTGTCAATTTTTTAACAGAAAAGGACGAATTTGGAATATATGAATAGTTGAGTGATCATTTTATAACTTTTAATAGTTGGAGATTCAACAAAACCTTATCCTATAGTCAAGGGATCATTCCATAACTTTTAATATTTACATAACTTAATAAAGTATCACCCTATAATTGGAGACCATTTGTGTACTTTATCCATAATTAAATAACTTAACTGATAAAATTAAAAGATAAATAATTAAGGGTAAACTACAGAGTTGGCCACTTTTGTTTCATATTTTTTTAAACATATGATCACTCGATTCAAAAAGGTTAATTCGTAGTCACTCTGTGATTATATCTGATTGATTCTGTTATTGTATTCAGAATCCCAAGGTTATTGAGAACTCCGAAGGTGCATGGACCACACCGTCTGTTGTTGCCTTCAACCAAAAGGGTGAGTTACTTGTTGGCACCCCTGCAAAACGTCAGGCAGTGACCAATCCAACTAATACACTATTTGGGACCAAGCGTCTGATTGGTAGACGATATGATGATCCCCAGACAGCAAAAGAAATGGGAATGGTTCCTTTCAAGATTGTCAAGGCTCCCAATGGAGATGCCTGGGTCGAGGCAAATGGGCAGCAATATTCTCCTAGTCAAGTTGGGGCATTTATTTTGACCAAGATGAAGGAAACTGCCAAGGCTTACCTGGGAAAGAGTGTTTCTAATGCTGTTATCACCGTTCCGGCTTATTTCAATGATGCTCAGAGACAAGCAGCTAAGGATGCTGGTAGAATTGCGGGCGTTGATGTTCAGATAATAATCAATGAGCCTACCGCAGCTGCCCTTTCATATGGAATGAACAACAAGGAGGGTCTCATTGCAGTCTTCGATCTTGGTGGTGGAACATCTGATATTTCAATTTTGGAGATCTCTAATGGTGTCTTTGGGGTATGCATATTTTTCTATTCTAAGAGGGTTTGTTTTTGGTATGCTTAGGCTAATTATATTAATAAATCTCTTATCCAGGTCAAAGCAACAAATGGTGATACTTTCTTGTGAGGTGAAGACTTTGACAATGCCTTGCTGGATTTCTTGGTGAGCGAATTCAAAAAAACCGAGGGAATTGATCTTTCAAAGGATAGACTTGCTCTCCAGAGGCTCCGGGAAGGCGGGAAGCGGCTGAGAAGGCTAAAATTGAACTCTCATCTACATCACAGACTGAAATTAACCTGCCATTTATAACAGCCGATACATCTGGGGAAAACACTTGAATATCACATTGACCAGATCAAAGTTTGAGTCTGGTAAATCACTTGATTGAAAGGACCAAGGCTCCATGTAAGAATTGTTTGAAGGATGCTGGCATTTCTACGAAGGATATTGATGAGGTTTTTCTTGTTGGAGGGGGTGACTCGTGTCCAAAAGTACAAGAAGTTGTGTCAGGCATCTTTGGGAGGAGTCCGAGCAAAGGTGTCAATCCTGATGAGGCAGTTGCTTTGGGAGCTGCAATTCAGGGTGGCATACTTCGAGGTGATGTTAAAGAGTTGCTTCTGCTTGATGTCACTCCTCTTTCACTTGGTATTGAGACACTTGGTGGTATATTCACAAGGCTAATCAACAGGAACACAACCATTCCCACCAAGAAAAGTCAGGTTTGTCTTCTGTGCAGTTGTTTGCATTTTTTCTTAGACAATTTATATGTATTAGTCCTTGAGACATGATAAGTAGTTTGCTGTTTTTTGTGCATAGTCTAATTGCTTTCAGATTTATTGTGTATAACTATTATATTTTTTTCCCCATTTGATGGGTTCCTTTTTTTTTTCAGGTGTTCTCCACTGCAGCTGATAACCAGACTCAAGTAGGCATTAAGGTACTTCAAGGTGAGCGTGAAATGGCTTCCGACAATAAGATGTTGGGTGAGTTCGACTTGGTCGGCATTCCATCTGCTCGAGGCATGCCACAGATTGAGGTGACTTTTGACATTGATGCCAATGGTATTGTCACCGTCTCTGCCAAGGATAAGGCCACCGGGAAAGAACAGCATATTACCATCTGTTCGTCTGGTGCTCTCTCAGAGGATGAGATCGAGAAGATGGTCAAGGAAGCCGAGTTGCATGCTCAGAAGGACCAACAAAGAAAAGCTTTGATTGATATCAAAAACAATGCAGACACTACCATATATAGTGTGGAGAAGAGCTTGAACGAGTACAGAGACAAGGTTCCTAGTGAAGTCACAAAAGCAATAGAGGATGCTATCGCCGTCAAACAAAGCAGTCTCAAAGATCGGGGAGCACATGTCTGGTGGTTCTGGTGGTGCTCAAGGTGGTGAGCACGCACAAGAAGCAGAGTACGAGGAGGTGAAGTGAGTGATTAGGCAATGATTCCCTTTGTTGTTTTCCCTTATTTTTCGAACGACGCCAATCCTTTTGAATTATGCATATGGCGATAAAAGCAGTTTTGTATCTAAATGACAAAAAGGTTGAATGTAGGCTAGAATAAGGAGGTTCACTGTTGTTTCTCGGTTTATTCATTGAACAAATATAAAACTGCAAGTCATGTTCCAGAATCGTGGGTAAGTGTTAGAACTGTGCTGGGATGGTGAGACTTAAAGCTTAGTGGTTCCAGCCATTGGGACCCCAATCCCCAAACCATCATTTCTGGCTAATTCCAGCAAAGCAGAATCTCCACCCCTTTTTTTGTTTGTTTTATACTATTACGTAAAATATCAGTGATAAATAAAGTGGTAGTGCCAGCCAATACTTTGGGGAAATGATTCCATCTTGTTTGCAACTTAGATATTTTCATTTTCTTGCTGAACTGTCAAATTGGTAAATATGAAATGAATTTTATAGTGGACGAAATGATCTTCCCATACGTACATTAGAAGAAACTTGCATATACAGCAAAAAACAAGATCTGCATATAATATATATATCATCTGAATCATCACTCTGAATAGCGCTTCCAAATCCCAAACTGGCAGCCAATTTTCATCAACTTCGTCTCTTAAGCAGAGGCCGAGAATACTGTCTGATGACTCCAGCCACGGCAATGACCAGAGCACAGGCATTGGAATCACGCTTTTTCTTTACTAGGTGGTTGCTCCAATATGTGTTTGCCATGTTCTCAAGCCAAAGGCTGTTGCCGCCTCTCATTTATTTCTTTCCGCGTATGACCTTCAAGAGGCTAACGCCGGCATTCCAGTCTGTTTCCATATATCACGCTTACATGCCACCAACCAATAAACAAAAATTGGATTGTAGATGTCTCATAGAAAAGATGAGTAATAGGGTTCCCACCCTATCTCATCTATCTCCCACCCAAGCTTTGGAAACGACTGACCGATCCTTCAATCCGAGCTTTTAAGAACGTCCGTCATCTGCATCGGAATCGCTTCCTGAAGAAGACCCAGAACCTGAATCTGCAAATGATAATCTATCAAGATAAGAACTTCTTGCCACAGAGTTCTTTCGGTTTGTTTTTTTCCCCAGAAATCATCATTCTTAAATTCGAAAGAGGATTGAGCAATACCGCTTGAAGACGATGAACCACTGCTCGAGCTGCTAGAGTCACTAGAACTGCTACTAGCATGATCGTTATCCTTCTCAATCTCTACGGGTGGGAAGCTACTCATTGGCATTTCATCCCCAATATCTACATCTTCCTCACCAGCATCCGCTCTCTTGGGTTTCTTCATTTCCATTGGAGCTTCAACTTTCTTCATAGTTACCTCTTCCTGTATTTTCCATTATTTTTTGGGTCAGTAAAAACATAATATTTATACATTAATGCAATGAAGTAAACAAATTATCAACCATTCATCAAACAATCAAATACGTGCTTACCATGTTGGTGCCATTAGATACCACATTGTTCGCCAACAATGCTTGCCGCCTCATCTTGCTGGCCATTTTCTTGTTATTAGTGACAAATCGATCCAACTCCCACAGTGTTTCAGTATCCATTGCCTCGATATCAAGTTCAATCTCATCCCCATCCTGGATCAAATGCCCATTCATCTTCCTTATAATCTGAACCACATTATCCATCTTCTCTTGTGGCAAGCTCTGCAATCCCATTCCCAACCTATGCTTCTCCTCCACAGTCATTTCCCTCTTGTTCAGATCCTTGGCCTTCGGATTTGGCTGCTTCGGTACCCGAATCGGCGAACCAACCCTTGCCAATGCCGATGCGGGCAACTGAAGCTGAGGCTGTGGGACATTTGGGTTTGAAACAAAGCCTGAGCCGGCGCCATCTTTATTGGGTCTTGCTGACAGATTAATTAAACAATCCCTTTCAACAATATTCTTCTCCCCATTTCTTTCTCTATCTTTGTTCAACCTATGGTAGCCATGATCCCAAGAACTAGCCTGCAACTCTTCTTCAAAATAAACCCGTTCTAATGGCTCTTCGTTCTCCTCCAGCTTCGGACTCAGCGGCCGAAACAACTCCTCGAATCTTGCAAGCAACTGTTCAGCCAACGCATTTATTTCATGCGCTTTAGGATTGTATAACATGGCGTTATTGAAAGTTAACCTTACATCAGCTGCGAAATCCAACGGAGACCCATAAAAATTCTTCGCTATTCTCGTCTTAATAGTGCCCAGATCCATTGGGTTCTTAATTACACTGTAGTAATCATGAAGCCCCAACCCAATGACATCAACCGGAGAATTAAAGACATGGCCATACTTATGTTTCATCAATTTGTTCAGTATTTGGGAACAAATTTTCATCGAATGAGCTTTAGGTGCTTTTCCATTCTCTTGTGTGTTCAGTATCTTCAATTCTTTGCTGAAATTAGGGGGCAAAGGACGTTTGTTACCGGGAATTCGTTTTTGAGGTAAGGGTTTTGAGCTGGATCTCAACTGAAAATCATTCGAATTGACTCGATTCTTCAACTCACGAACCCGATCCAGTTCGACAATCAACTGGCTCTTCAGATCAATCAACTCATTCATCGAATAAGTGCTGACGCGGAAGCTTACAATAGCGCCGGAACCGAACTGGTTCTGTTTCCGATTAATCGACGACGCAACATCAGAAGCCGCGGGTCGGGCTACGTCCGGTAAATCATCGACGACATGACCAACATCATCTTCACACGGCGGCAATTGCTCGTTGAATTGGCGTTTCTTTTTCAATTTAGGGTTGTGTTTACGCTTGGTTGCTGGGTAAGGAAATTTGCCCATGAACTTAGCTACACTGCTTCTTCGCTGCGGCGGCCAATTCGACTCGCTTTGATTCGCCAAAACGGCCGATGCCATTGAAATATCGGGAGCCAGAAGAGCAATGACGAGGCTTTCCCACTTTGGAATGGAAAATTCAAACCATGAAACGGTAAATCGTGCCTTCCACGCGTTAACCGAATAACCACCACGCGCCGCCCTAACCGATGTAAATCGAGAGTTTAAAACGAGAAATTGGCGAATAATTTATACTTCAGGAACTAGGGTTTTGAATCCTAGTTATGAGCAATGAACGAGAGAGTGCCTGAACTCGCTACTTAAAGGCGAAGAGATCTGCCCGATTGAGTTTCGGGCAAATATCTGATCGTTAGATGGAGCCTGCTTGTTGATCCAACGATTTTCAAAGATTTGGTAACTGACCAGATGAGCTGCTATCGACGGCTGCGATGGAAACTATAGACACGTGTAAAGAGAGAAGGCCGTGGATGGGGATCTTTTGATTTGGGTTTGGAGTGAATTTAGAGCTTTTTAAAAAAAATTAAGGCTGTGGCCCACAGCTTGCTGACGTGGACGGCAGCAGGAAGGCGGAACCCACACGGCTTGCTGTGAAGTGCTCAATCATAAATGGTAACGTGGCATTATCATATATTCTAATTATTATCCATAATTATTTTAGCTATTTTTATATTTAAACTAATCTAATATAATTAGAAAGTATCACATAATAAAATAACTAAACAATATAGATCACAAATCACTCCAGGAAAGTGTGAAGAAATGTTGTAACTCACAGGTTAATAATCAGTGTTTTTCGTCACAATTAGGGATGTGCATTGGTTGAGTCAGGTCAGGTCGAGTTTTTAATTTATTCGACCCGACCTAATCTGATATGAAAACAAGGAGTTCTCCACCCGAGACTTGATTCGATCCGATCAAAACAAGTTATCACCGACCCGACCCGATATATAACTTAAAAACTCGAAGACTCAAAATAATTAAAAAACTTATTTTTATTCAATAAAAACAGTGACTAAATTAAAAATAATAATATATAGAGGGGTATTATTGTAATTATCTCTAAAAATTTAAGGTAAAATTATATTTTTTTCTGGTCGGGTTGGATATTTTTCACCCTAAACTTGAACCCGACCCGTCCCGAACATCACATTAAAAAAACTCGACCCGACCCGAACCCAATTTTTTTAAAAAAATCAACCCGAACAGGTCGGACCGGATCGAAACCTGTCGAGTTTGGGTCTCATGCCCATCCCTAGTCACAATAGATATTTCGTCAATAATAATTCTTAATAAGAATATAGGATCATAACTGAACTGTTTAAGTTTAGGGTAAAGCAGATAAATGTTACTTGATTATAAGATAGTATTTTTTTTGAGTTCTCTAATTATGGGACCTTGCTTGTTGAATTACTAAAAATTATAAAATTATCTCTTGATTATACGACATTGTTTTGTTGAGTTTCTTGATTATTAAAAGTTATAAAATAGTCACTCTATTATTCATATGTTCCAAACTCCTCATTTTTCGTTAAAAATTTGACGGCCATCTGAGTTGGACGTTAACATTCTCATTAGGATATGATAAAAAATTGAACCCAGAATTGTCCGAGTTATATTTTATAGATCGAATCTTTATTTACATTATATTGTTAAGTCAATGCTTGAAACATTATGTCGTCAAGCCAATACGTGAAAGCAACGGTGGTACCAATATACATTATTAAAATATAATTTTATCATATATCAGTTAACAGATTAACTTCCAACTCAGACGGTCGTCAATTTTTTTATCAAAAAATTATGCATTTGGAACATATGAATAATTGAGTGACTATTTTATAACTTTTAATAGTCGAAAACTCAACAAAACAATGTCCTATGAACAAAATATTATTTTGTATCTTTTAATAGTTTGAATTTTAACAAAACAATGTCCTATAATCGAGACACTATTTGTTTGTTTACCCTTATATTTATGAGGAAAAAAGTGACGAGAATTTTAAATTTGTTATATAAAATGTAATAGTAATTTTAGAAGTATTTTTTATTGTGGACAAGTAGATATATTAATAATATAATTTTTATACAAAATGAACATAACCAAAAAATGTAATTTCAGAGTAATTACTTGCTCACCTTAAATGATGAGCGGGTCCACGACGGGTGAAGTGGACATCTGTAGCACCGATGGTGATTCGTGAGGAATAGGGTAAACTATAACTTTATCGATTTTAATTTATTTTAGTATTTAAATTTTATATTTTTTAAAAGTATATTTAATGTTTAGTTTTTATTTTAATATATTTTATTAAAAATTTAATATGTTTAATATATAATTTATTAGTTTTTTTGTTTATTTTATACTTAAATTTGTAATTTTTTTCAAAACTTAATATTAAATGTTTAACCGAATATTAAAATAAAATAAAAATTAAATGTAAAATATGATTTAAAAAATAAAAAATTAGACATTAAAAAGATTAAAATTAATCATTTAAATATTGAAGGAGTAAAAAAATTAATAATTTAAATACTAAACCAATAGTTTAACTTAGGAATAAACTACAGTAAAGGCGTGGGCCAAGCCAGTTCAATAAATATGAACACTTTATTTCCAACCGAAGTTTCCCGGAAAGGTGTTTGAAACATTTATTCAAATTCCGACTGCCCCTGGACTTTACTCATACTAAACCAATATTCCGTGCACACCATTTGGAAAATTAACATGTGGATGTGTCTGGCTAGTTGAAGAAAATAGGACTGTGGGCAAAACTATATATATATATATATATATATTAAATTAGTAATTTTAATTTATTTTAGTATAATTTTAATTTTTTTAATATACATAATATTTAGTTTTTATTTCATTTTAGTATTTAAATTTTAATTTTTTTAATATACATAATATTTGGTTTACTCCATTTGCAAACGTCAGGATTCGAACCCCTGACCTTATTTAAGAGACCTAGTGAATCATCCCATTAAACTAATTGATTGTTGGTAGCTATATTAAATTATTAAATAAACAAGAGATTTTTTTCATTTTAAATACGTTACATATGTTTATATTGGAAACTAATTTTTTTTTCAGATTACAGTCCATTACACATCAACCCCAAATCAAATACAATTCGACAATCTCATTTCCTTTAGATCTAACCGAGGCCCAAACGTGCACATGCCTACACACAGCAAATGGATTAGGGTTCTCTAATTTTCCCAGCGCCGCACGTCAGGAGCCATGAGATCTAGACCCCATCAACGGTCCAGATCAGAGTAGCAAATAGGGTTTTATAACCCAAACAAGCAGCTGCACCGTTAGCAACCCTCCATCTCCCACGAGTGACGTTTCATGCCAGCAAGGATGGTCCCAACAAAACCCATCAGCTCCCAACAGACCCCCTCGCGTATGCAGTGATCCCGACAATCCTGGCAGACACCAGATGCACAAACGACCTCCAACAGCCTCACACGGGTGATCACATGCAAACAAAAAAAACCAAAAGAATTTTGTAATTTCAATTTTATGGAATTTTTGTAACCGGGTTCTATAAAACCCACACCAAACATGTAAAGAGGGAGCATGGATTTTCTCTCGAAATATTTGTAAAGGGGACTCTTCCTATTCGAAAACTAGAGAAACATTTGTAAAAAAAAGTTCTCTCGGCCCTCATTCATTTGAAATAGAAAAGGTCTATTTTCCACCATTTTACAAACAAACAAAAATGCAAGCGATGAATCGATTCTTCCATTTTTAACAAACAAAATCAAGTAAGAAACCATTTTTTCTTTCGTTCGAGCACTCGAAAATCCATAAAATAGAAAGAAAAAAAATAGTTATCCAAACCAAGAAAAAAAGAAGGAAAGAAAGAGTGAGAGGTTTACCTTAACCGGTAAGCTCGAGGATCATTGGAAACTAAGTGCTATGAAGCACAGGGACAGCAAAAGAGCCTCGTTTTAAGTTACGTTTCAAGCTTGAGGACAAAGGAGCCCCATTTCAAGTACTCGATATGTTTTGGGCACGTGGATGATACGGGGACGGACGGGATACGGGTCGGGGACGTGCCATGGTGGTGAAGTACGATTGTCCGAATTCAAGGACGATCAAAGCTTATTGTAATCACCATTTTTACCTCCCCATTCCAGCAGCTCCACGTTTCAGCTTCAACATTCCAGCAGCCCCTCCATGTTGCAGCTCCAGTAGCCTCTAGCAAGCCGGGACAGCAGTCCCTCCACGTCCCAATTCCAGTGGCTTCCATTACCTCCTTTGGCCGGTGACTCACTAGGTTTTCCTCCTTTAACCGGTCCAAAGGGTGCACGAAAAAGCCTATAAAAACCCCATCAGTGAAGTAAAAAGGAGGGAGGAGAGCAATCAAACAGAAAAAATAATAAAATAGTGAAGATACCGAGCAACTTACCTTCGTCAGAGCATCTAAATCGCCGAAAAACCACCGAAAAACCGAATGTAAAAACTTAGATCTACGGAGTTTGAGGGGTTTTTAGAATAAGGGGAAGCCGGAATCGGCTTTAGAAATGAGAGAGGATTTTTTTTAGTATTTTTATAAAATTCCAGACACTGTGGACGGTGGCCGGCGACGGCGGAGGACGACGACGACGGTGGCCGGCCGGTCACCGGTATCCCTCCGACGAGGGAGCTCTAGAGAGAGAAGAAAATGGAGAGAAATGATAATTTTGGCCTATTTATACCCTCACCAAAACGACGTAGTTTTGGTGAGGGCCTCTGTGTAATTTCTCGCATGGAAAAACCATACGCATTATCCCCCTGATTTTATAGACTTCTATTTTAGACACTAAATTAAGTTTTCGAGCATTTTAATTTTGTTCCCGAATTTTATTTTATTATATTTTAGTCATTTCCCGTAATTATGTAATTTAGGGTAAATAATATATTTATCCCCTTTAACTTTATTAATTTTAATTCAATCCCGAATAATTAATATAAGATAAATCATATTGTTAATACTTAGTTTTCATAATATTTTGAATTAGAGCTTTTAATTTTAATATGTTATAATTTAGTCCTTAATTTTAATACTTTCATTTATTTTACAAGTTTTATTATCGTTTATATTTTAATAATATAGTTTTAATTTTATTTATTTTAGTCATTATTTATTTATTTTTATATGTTTATATATTTAATTATTATTGATTATTATTATGTATCATATAAATATATAAAATAAATAATATTTATTTACTTATTTTTATATTTTATATATATATTAAATAAAAAT